CCGCGTGCCCCGGCAGCCCTGCGGGGCGAGACCGGCCCTGCACCCGCTGCCCCCCGGGGCCCACCCAGCCTCGCGCGGCCCCCAGGGCATCACCCGCTTCCTGGCAGCTGAGAACGGGCAAACTTGTGACCCTCGCGCAAGACAGGGATGCCCGGAGGGTGCCCCATGTCCCCTGGAGGGGGCCCCTTCCCCCCTGCCCCTCGGTGTGGGGTTAAATCCCCATCCGGAGACAGCAGCCGCGGATGATATTTCTGGCAGACGGATAATCCCCCAGCAAATGGCTCTCCCGGTAAGCCGGGTGGGATAAGTCTGTGTGGGATGGGCAGTGATTTGGGGAGTCGGGATGGGAGATGAGGGGGACCACAAGCCCTAGGGCTGGGGGACATCCTGCAGGAGCCTCCGTGAGAGCCTAAGCCCATTCCGAGTGGATCTGCGCAGGGTCCGGCATTGCAGCTGTGGGGGAGTTCAAGTCCTCATGGTGCCCGACAGAGCACGCGGGGGTCCCTGTCACCGCGCGAGAGGGGACGAGGTGACACTACCTGAGCGGACCTCTTCATAGGTGGGGTTGGGGGTGAAGCCACCCGCAAAGCCCACCTGGGTGGAGAAGACCCCTGGGAGCCTCCAGAAGAGCTGCTCCGCTCCCCAGAAGCATCCCATGCCTGGCGGAAAAGGCACAAGGAGAGGGTCCGGATCACCCTGAGGTGTCTGCACGGACAGGAGGGAGCAGGGACGGGCACGGGGGGGATTTCAATCCCTCTTGGGACTCCCAGCATGTTCCCGGGCAGTGGGAAAATCACTCACCGAAAATGGCCACCTGCATCCCATCAGGGAATGGCGGGAGCGTGGGGTTCCCGCTGACAGCATGGGTGGCTGCAGAGGGGAAAACACGGGGTCAGGACCCCCGCGTCCATTTGGGAAGGACGCAGACCTGTTCCCTTTGTGGGGACAGCCACGGGCTGCCGACCACAGCCGCTGCTCCATGCCAGGCCTGAGGGCTTGGAGAGCCAAGGAAAACTCTCCATTCCTCAGGTTCACAGGGCCGGGGGTATCCCTATCCAGCCCCATCTGCAGGGAGCTGGAAAGGGGGAAACTGGTGCAAAGAGCAGCAGCCTCCACTTAGAGCTGCCACATCCCTCTGCATGGAGCTGCCACCGTCCCCTCCAGCTCCTCGACCCACCGCGTTCCTGCCCATCGACCTCCTCCCGACCCAGCCGGCGC